CCTGTTCTGTTCCCCGCTCTGGCTCTGGTGAATACTCTCACCCTCCCGCACTTCTGACTGTACCCAGTGCTTGTGCAAATGAATAGATAAATCTTAAAAAAAAAAAATAGGGGGCAGATACCCCACATTCTAAACTCAAATGCAGCTAAACCATCTAAGTAAGATTTTCAGAGGGATGATCTCAACTGGTTCTACAACCTGATCAACAAAAATCCCACCCGAAACTTGAAAACAGTATGTTAAGTGAAAAGCCAACCACAACAGGCCACATATTGTAAGATTCCATTTATATGAAATGTCTAGAAGAGGCAAATCCACAGTAACAGGAAGTAGATTAGTGGCTGTCAGGGTTTGGGGGGCAGCGGTAATGGGAGTTTAATGAGTAAAGGGAGCTTTTTGGGGTGATGAAATTATTCCAGAAGTAGGTAGTGGTGACAGTTGTACAACCGAGTACAATTTTCCCCATAATCCAAAAGAACATCTCCTATGAAACCTTTGTAAGCCAAAATGATGAAAAACAAAGAAACAATTACTATTAAGCAATATGGAAAAAATTTTGAGCCTTCCCAGACCCAAAAAATCATATCAAATGACACATGAAAACTCAAATAATATTAAGATATAAGTAAAAGCAGGAATGATATCATAAATACAAGAGCCGTGTAAAGCAATTCCTGGGAAGGAACTTGATGGAGCCACTCTCATATATCAGGTGTCTGCTGCCAGTATAACAGCTGCTACCAAAAAAAGAGTTCACCTTTATTTTCACTTTCGGTCCTAAAAACAAAAATCTTCAATTTTTTTTCAGTTATCAAAAAGGTACTAATGCAGGTCTTTCACAAAGGCAAAGTGGCATATGAAAGCTTTCAAAAAGTGGAGAGTACCTATATACTAAAATCACTGAATAGTACACAATTAAAGTGGTCAAATAGTGAGTTTTTCTCAACTAAATTAAAAAAAAAAAAAGGAGATCCAATTCAGCCTGCGTCCATGAATACAGGATCAAGTGGGTGAAGCGGGTGCGTACAGAGTTGCTCCATTATGGACTCACCCTGGGAAGGGTATGTGAGTCTCGCTGGATACCCTCCCCCCTTCTGTCTTCAGTTGCTAGAGAACAGTCACAAGCTGACAAACTCATCCCGAAGTTCAGAGAGACCATGGGATTGAGCCCATGTCTTCCTAGGCAATAGACAGTCTGGGGGAGTGGTCTGCTTCTACCACAAATCCCAGGCAATTTACAAAAGCCAACTGTTGCAGATCAAAAGCACAGCTGTCACAGGAGCTGAGTGCACTTCTGGGGTTGGGGGGGGGGTTGCAAAGGTGTGTTTTTCCTGCGGGCCTTGGCTCCAATCACACTGTAAAAACCCTGCCAAATATGTGCTTCCCTTCATGAGACTGTCACTTCTGGATAAACCCATTCTGTTTTTGTAATAATTGATTGCTTTTGTTTGAGGTTGAGAGGCTATCAAGTGCTAATTATTAGTAAAAATGACTCAGTCATGAAACTAGTGCTATAACAATTTCTCTAATTCCTTGACTCTTTGATTACAACCTGAGAAATTCTGGAGATCAAAGGACTGGAAAAAACCCTGAAATTTTTTCACCTACTCAAATTCTTGCTTTGAGGCAAGAGTTCCTTCCAAACCCAGTCAGGCACCACCTGCCCACACCCACCTCAGCAAACTAACTTCAGAATCACGGTCAAGTGTCAAAACTTCCCACTGTTCAATGGCATCATTATTGAACATTAAGAATACCAATAGGGGGCCTCCCTGGTGAAACAAGGGGTTAAGATGAAACCTATGAAGCTATGGGAGTTCGATCCCCGGCTGGCCAGGGAGCAACCCACATGGCGCAGCAGACTTCTCCTGACTCGCCCGCTGCTCCCCTCAGCAGTGTATTTGGGTCAATCTGATTGTTCCCCGCTCTGTCTCTAGCGAATCCTCTTACCCACCACACCTCTGGCATATACCCCAACTCTTGTATGCATAAATAAATACATTTAAAAAAAATGCCATGTGGCAAAGACCACAGTAATATCTGTCTGTCCTGTTTAAACTGAGAAGGCAACTCAACCATCCATCCTGGCAACACATTCTAGGGTAGAACCACCCTGTCAGAAATGTCTCTCTTCTCTTTAATCTAAATCCTTCAAATAGAGCCTCAAGGTAATTGTGTCCGTCCTGCTTACAAATTATTTGGAACACAGTTGTTTATCATCTGGATTATAGGATTATGTAATGTTGAAGGGTTATGGTAAGCAGTGAATAATGTGCATGCCACACAGAGCTTAGTCTCTGGCACATAATAATGGCCTAATACATATTTATTATTACCATCACTATATTTTCTAGGACTCTTCCAGTCACAAGAGGCAAACATGCCTCAAAATAATTTCAGTTAGAGAAAAAGGAGAGGGTGGAGAATGCAATTAAAAAGGAAGGAGAAGTGTGCCAAGATCTAGGGCACCATTGGATCCAGGGTTCAAATGATAGTCAATGTTATTTGAACATTCTGTTTCCCTTCTCTTCCCTTCCAACTTTCAGACAAGCTTTTTGACATGTAGAGACCAGGGGCCTCCCTGGTGGCCTAGAGGTTAAATCTCAGCACTATAACCACTAGTTCGATTCCCCACATAGGCGCAGCACACCTCTCCGGTCTTGCCCACTGCTCCCCTTAGCAATGTATTTCAGAAGATCTGTCTGTTCTGCTCCCCACTCTGTCTCTGTGCCCACTTTGTGGGCCTGCGCCTTTGGCCCAATCCCAGTTCTACACAAATTAAAAAAAAAAAAAAAAGATTTAAAAAGTAGAGAGCAGAATGACAAGCTGCAGACTTAGGCAGGGTAAACCATACCTTAAGCAGCTAAAACAGACTCCCCACTCATCAGCTCACCCCTGAAAAAATGCACTGAATAGCAAGCAAACGACAAACATGAGACTAGGAGCTAAGAACCCAGCAGTGACCAAGACAAACATTTCTGTCCTTGTGCAATTATCTCCCAGTGGAAGGTAGAAGAAGAAGGAATGATGGAAAGAAAACAGTTACCCTCCACAAAAATAAAGTCACTCCTTATGTCGTTATCAAGGTCAGACTATATAGCATTTTCTTCTCCAAGCTAAGTAAGCCCATCCTTTCACAACTCCGTGTCCTTAGAGAGATGTGTGCAAGTCCCCAAATCAGGTCTTCCCCTGATCACCTTGACTGGATTTCGAGCATATTTAGCTGATACCACATAATCTTTGCATGTTTCTAAGATGTGAGGAATGCAGTCATGAAACATTTCCTGTGTTCTTGGGAGAAAATTCAACTTTTCATGAAACTAATCTGAATCAAGTTCCTCTCACCAGAAGAATCTTGATTTCCCAGTGCCACGGCACACAGAGGCTGACTCACTGCACAATGCACACAATCGCATTTAAATTTCACACTGGACGAACAGATTTGTGCTACTCTATAAATCCATTCACCAACAACGAGGCAGGGTCCAGCTCTCACCGAAATTCAAGGTTGCTCCTTGGTGAGTGGGGTGTAGGGGGAGTGGGAGGAGTAGCAGGAAGGGGATTGGTTGCTGTTGTTCTTGTTTGTATTTTTTAAGTGACATTACAAGTTCAGGGCCTTGCCCCTCCCCCAAACCCCCCCTCCCCAACACCATATTGTTTTCTACTTGGCCAGCTTGTCCACCTCCCTGTTCTTTTGCTTGGAATATTATCTCTCTTGTGAGGGCAACGATTAATTTCTTTTAATCCGAGATAATGTCCGAAAGGGCCATTCAGCTCATTCAAATCTTATCACTAAAACTGATGTCCAATTTAAACAAAACGGGATTTTTAATAGAAGAGTTTATCAACCCCACACCCTTCACCTCATTTTGCCTCTGCTTTGTCCACCCGGGTTTGCAGCTTCCCTTGCCCGCTGGGCCAAGCCAGCACCTCCCTGCCTCCTAGGAAAAGGGAGGCCCTGCGGGCAGACCCCCCTGAGATCAGTCCTTGTCCCGCGCAACCGCGAGCACGTTTGCAGATCCGGGGGGAGGGAAAGTCTCGATGTGGGAGTTTTTTGTCTCTTGATACCCTTATCTTTACCTTCCAGCAGGAAGGCCGGTTCCAAGCTTTCTTTCCTGTGTGCCTTGGCAAAACGGGCATCATCCCTGATGCCGCTTCCAGCATTAGCAAAGGGACAGAACTTTCCCCGGGAGGTGCGGAGTGTCCCCGCTGCGCCTTCCCTGGTCTTCCTCGGCGCCGAGAGCCCAGTCTCACCACAGGGAACTTGTCTTCCAGCCCTCCTGCCGCCTCCTCCCCAAAACGTGGGCGGGGAGCGAAGGTTGCTTCTATGTTTATTTTGTAAACCTTTCAATTCAAGGGCGCTCACCACCGTGGAGGCCCCTTGGCCCTCGACCAAACAAAGCTGTAAGAGGTCCGGGGCTGCGGAGCAGGGTGGGAGAGACGCGACCTGCGCGGTGGCGACCTAGTGCGCCTTTCAGGGGTGCTGGGCGTGTCCACTTCCACCTCCTCCCCAAACCTTACCCCCCCCCCGGGCGCGGGGCTGTAAGCCGCAGGCAATTAGCGGCAGTGAGTGGGCTCCTGTTCTCTCCTCTGGGGGGGCCCCAGCGCAGTCCCCAGGGCGGACCCTCACTTGCTCACGCACCCGCACCCCGGAGTCGGGGGAGGGCGGGCGCGAGATCGCGGGAGGCGGCGCCGGGGCGGCGGGGTGCGAGTAGGGGGGCGCCTGCGGCCTCTGGGATTGGCTGCTCCACCGCCCCCCACCCTGCGCCGCGCGCCCCCAGCCGGTAGCCCAGAGCGCTCGGCCCGCCGCCTCGGGCGGGTTCCCGCGGGAGGGAGGACGCGCAGGGGCGGGACCGGCTGCGCGCCCCGCACCCGACCCCGGGCGCACCGGGATAAAACCCCGGCCGCGGGGCGCGGGAACCCCGGGTCCTTCAGCCTCCCAAGCGCGAGGAGGTGCGGCCCGGGCCGACCAGCTGCCGGCGCCCCCAGGCCCGCAGACCTGGCTGGGGGAGCGGGGCGCACAGCGCGCGGGCGCGACACTGCCGGAGCGCCGGGGCGGTACCTGCAGCCCAGCGATGAGAACCCGGGAGAAGCCACCCGAGCCGGTGGAGACGTCTGCGGCCGTGCTGGTTGCTGCTGCCACGGTTGCTTGAAACTCCCCAAAGTTGAGAGCCGGAGAGAGGCTGCCGCCCGCTGGGAGCCGGAGGGAAAGGAACTGGGAAGATGTAAGAACGACAGACGGAGACAGACGGACGCACAGACCTTCAGAAGACACCAGGGTCGGCGGCCGATCCCCAGAATCCGTGAGGCTTCCTAGTTCTGTGAGTTGCTTTCTGGACCGGAGGCTTGTTAAGTATTTCCGTGTACTTGTTGATAGATTTGGTTTGTGTATTTTTGTGCCTATTGGGAGGAGTTAAAAAAGAAGAGGCCGCAGCATGCAACTTAAGAATCTTTCTGAGTTTCTTTTTGAGTTTTTGAGTAGAGGTGGCTGTAGTGCTAGCCTGTGATAAGTGTGTAAGCAGGCTAACTGGTCATATAGCAGTGAACAGTGAAAAGGACACATAGGCGCCCCGGTGTGAAATAAAACCTCCATTTCAAAAGTTACTGGAAAGAAAGCAAGATACAGCTCTTAAGGGTTAACCGGTCATAGTTAACTTTGCTTTCTCTCCCCCTCCCCTTTCAATGTTGATTGTTTACCAGGTTTCCCGGTGGGTGGCTGAGCTGGTGGAGAGTCTTAGAGGCGACCATAATGTCTTTCCATTTGCATACGCTGCCCACCCTGCCTGGAGTTGTCAGACCTGGCTGCAGGGAGCTGCTGTGTTTGTTGGTGATCACGGTGACTGTGAGCCAAAGTGCCTCCGGGCTGTGCCCCACCGCTTGCATCTGTGCCACTGACATCGTGAGCTGCACCAACAAAAACCTGTCCAAGGTGCCAGGAAACCTGTTCAAACTGATTAAGAGACTGGACCTGAGTTATAACAGAATCGGGCTGCTGGATTCTCAGTGGGTTCCGGTATCATTTGTAAAGCTTAACACCCTCATCATCCGTCATAACAACATCACCAGCATTTCCGCAGGCAGTTTTTCCACAACTCCAAATTTGAAGTGTCTTGACTTATCATCCAATAAGCTGAAGACTGTGAAAAGTGCGGTGTTCCAAGAGCTGAAGGTTCTGGAAGTGCTCCTCCTTTACAACAATCACATTTCCTATCTTGATCCTTCAGCATTTGGAGGGCTTTCCCAACTGCAAAAACTCTACTTAAGTGGAAACTTTCTCACACAGTTTCCCATGGATTTGTATGTTGGAAGGTTCAAGCTGGCAGAACTGATGTTTCTAGATGTTTCTTACAATCGGATCCCTTCCCTGCCATTGCATCATATAAATATAGTGCCAGGCAAACAGCTGAGAGGCATCTACCTCCATGGAAACCCATTTGTCTGTGACTGTTCCCTTTACTCCTTGCTGATCTTTTGGTATCGCAGGCACTTTAGCTCAGTGATGGATTTTAAGGATGATTACACCTGTCACCTGTGGTCTGACTCTAGGCACTCCCGTCAGGTACCTCTGCTCCACGACAGCTTTATGAATTGCTCTGACAGTATCATCAATGGTTCCTTCCGTGCACTTGGCTTTATTCATGAGGCTCAAGTAGGGGAAAGGCTGATAGTCCACTGTGACAGCAAGACTGGTAATGCAAACACCAACTTCATGTGGGTCAGTCCAGACAACAAACTGCTAGAGCCAAATAAAGACATAGAAAACTTTCATGTGTTTCAAAATGGAAGTCTGCTTATAGACAATCCTCGTTTTGAGGATGCTGGAGTGTATTCCTGCATTGCCATGAATAGGCAGCGCCTGTTAAATGAAACTGTGGATATCACAATAAATGTGAGCAATTTCACTGTAAACAGATCCCATGCCCATGAGGCATTCAACACAGCTTTTACCACTCTTGCAGCCTGCGTGGCCAGTATAATTTTGGTACTTTTGTACCTCTATCTGACACCGTGTCCCTGCAAGTGTAAAACCAAAAGACAAAAAAATATGCTAAACCAAAGCAGTGCCCATTCATCTGCTCTCAATTCCGGCCCCAAGAGTGACACCTGCACTGATGAAAGGAAGGCAGGCGCTGGGAAGAGAGTGGTGTTTCTCGAGCCCCTGAAGGATGCTGCAGCAGGGCAGAATGGCAAGGTCAGACTCTTTCCCAGCGAGCCGGTTCTTGCTGAGGGCATCCTAAAGTCCACGCGGGTGAAATCTGACTCAGATTCAGTCAACTCAGTGTTTTCAGACACCCCCTTCGTGGCATCCGCTTAATTTTGTGCCTGTGTGTGTATGATGTATTAATTCAATCTCTCTATGTTTATGTGTAGTCTGCAAAATAAACAGCAGGACAGACATTGTGTTTTGGTTTTGGAAATACAACCAAATGGTCTCTTTAAATGGTTGATAAGGAAATGTGTTGAAACATGTTGGTTCTGGGGGGTTCCAGAGAGAGATGGGTTTGTTTTCCAAAGTTTAAATTGTAGTATTTTATTCTTTAGCAACACTGATCCTTTCAAAACTGGCCTGGAGGTGATATGCCTGCCATTCTCCATTTATTTCGGATTCTTGAAAGAAAAAATAAATTTCATGTATTAGCATTCTTTAAAAAGAGACTTTACTTAGACCAAAGTTGTGTTATGTTACAGATAAACATTAATGTCTTATTTCTTTTTGAAAGATGTTGAAGGATCAAGCAGCAATTGTTTATAAAGCACAAAGTAAAGTTAGATTTGGAAATTGTTCAGCAAATGTCATCATTTCACACCAGAGTGAACAGACTGCGCTGATAAAATGTACTGGATAATGCCACCTCCCGTATGGTGTTAAATAAATACTGCAATAAAGGTATATTTGTTTGGCTGTCTTCACTATGTATATTTCCTATCCTTGTACAAAAGATCTTATGGGGAGTTTAAAGTCGTCATTTTTTGTTGCCATAAATATGTAGGTGTCAATACCAAAATGTCTGGGCTTCTTAAACTTTGGTTCTAGCAGACTAATACTTGTTTCATATGTTTGTGTGTATGTAAATCTTAAATTACATGAACTATGAAATAGATCCTATTGTATCGTACTTTGGACAATGGAATCAATGTAAATATATGTATTGTGTGACTTGATGTTCTGTTTGGCTATTTAAAAACATAAATCTAAGATGTTTTATGTGATTGTTTTCCTTTATGTAATGCACTTGCTAAGCAAGTATCTCTCCAAAGTTCTTGGAGTTGCAATGCACAGTTTATCATTTTTTAGAAGTAGAAAAGTTCTAAAGTGTTCTACACCATTTACACCTTCTACATCACATTTTACTTTGACATAATTATGTACTTCAAACAGGTTTGGAAGATACTCAAACTGATTTTGCAACATAGGAGAGCCCAGCAGACTTGACTTGTACCTGCTGTGGGTAACTGAGTGCCCTGTCTGGACTGGGGCTTCCTTAGCTGTTAAAATGGAGGCTTTAGACTAGCTGATGTTTAAGGTTCACGTTCACACTGGAGGTGATCATTTCCTGGTAGTTTTTGCTCCATCACAGACTTTTTCTGGCTTCCTGAAACCATGTCGCCTCGTGACAGGATTAGGAAGGGAAGAGGATAGACGCTCCTTGCCCTGCATAGCTCAAAGGGACATTTTGGATCATCAAGCCTAACTCCTTCCCTTTCTCAGGGAGACATGAAGCCAAGTTGCGGTTGTCTCTGGCCACATCAGGAAGTAGTGACAGGGACAGAAGTCACTTCAGTTTCAGGATTCCTCCAATAGAAATAATAAAGCCAAAAGATTGGTAACTTATAACAGGGTGAGAGTGAGAAGGAGCCAAATGATGAGACATAAGAGTGGTCGGAAAAAGGCAAAGGAGCTTTAGGGATGTATTGTCACTGGGGCTAAAAGAAGTATTTTTAAAACTTGCAGTGGGCAATAGCGGTAAATAAAAGAGAAGTAGATGAGGACAGGAGACCTAGCACTGACTTTGGCAATGGTGATTTCGGGGAAACAGTGGCCACTTGGTGAGAGTTCAGTGGGTGCCAAGCCAGGCTTCAGAGGCAGACACTGGTCACTAGGAGGTTGAGGAATGAGTGAGTGGCCAGGATGGATCCCTGGAAAATAGATACAGAACCAGAGCTCAGTGGGGTTGAAAATTCCTTATTGCATGGTGTGAAAAAATTAGTATCTTTGCTCTTTAAAAAAAAAAAAAAGATTTGTTTATGCATGCAAGAGCTGGGGTGTAGGCAGAGGTGTGGGGCATGAGAGGGTTCACCAGAGATAGTGGGGAGCAGAACAGGCAGATCTACTGAAATACACTGCCGAGGGGAGCAGCAGGGGAGACAGAGAGGTCTTGCTGTGCCATGAGGGTTAGCTCCCTGGCTGGGGATCAAACTCAGGCTGCAGTGGCTACAGATAACTTCATAGTGCTGAGACTTTACCCCTTGCACATTTGCCTTTCCCTTTCAAACACAAACCTCACCCATTAGACAAGTTCTTTTAAATCCAGAGGCGTTATAGGCAAGCACTTTGTTCCAGTTACTGCCATTTAAGTGACTGGGAACAGTCTTATGATTTCATCTCTCCATATTTGGAGAAACTTAGGCTCAGAGATTCTATGATTTATGCAGTCATGTAGGTCGGAAATGTGATTGCACTTAGCAGGCAAACATATGACAGGCCCCACTAGAAACCTGGAATTTGTAGAGTCTGACAGTGGCTGGTTCTAAGGCGTCTTGTGTAAAGGACAGTTTGAGCTGAGATCAAAACTAACATCAAAACAACAATAAAAATTCTGATTCTTGGAAAGCAAAGCTGCCTTTTGAACAGAAATAGGAAGTCATGGTGATGAAAATGTGTGGGAATGAATCAAAGTCTTGATGTGGACTTTTAAGTTCTTAGGTATTATATTTGGGGGCGGGAGGTGCCTCAGGAAACTAATCACATGTGCTTTAAATATAATTTGTCCTTTTGAAAACTTATATAACTTCTCTTTCAAGTAATCATCTGGATTTATGTAACTGGGTAATTCTTTCAAACTACTTAGTACTTTTCATTACACAGTTTTGAGGGAGGTGACTACTCATTGGACAATCAAGCCAAGACATAAACGTGACATTTTCCTGGGTTTAATGTATTGTTTTTACTATATTTAGAATGTAATATGGTTTATGATATATATACTCTATAGCTGATCATGAGTTAAATTTCTTAAATGGCCTTTATTTATCATCTGAAAGAATGGCCTAAAATATTTTCTTATTTATAGTGAAGTGCTGCATTCATTCTCACTGTCTGGCATAGAGAGATTAAGACATTAATCTCGTTTATTTTTAGCTTTCATTGCTTGAATTATTTACCCAGATTTTTTTTTCCAAATAGACATTTTTCTAAAATGTTAATCATTAAGGGACATAGGTGAAATTTATGGGAGTGGAAACATAAAAGAGACAAGAAGACACATTGTTGGTCCAGAATCTAAAAAGACTTATTGGATCATCCTGTCAAAACAGGACACAGCACAAACACTTTCCAGCATTGACAACTTGCCCTCTGCCATAGCTACTGCCTGATGAGTGCCACTTTCTGGTCATCTGGTCTACCAAATGATCGCGTAATAACTCAAAACCAGGGTTAGGGATAGAATCACAAGAAAAGTTAAATGAATAAGGATTTCTAGTAGTTACCCTCTACAAAGTTCCCAACCAGAAATTCTGATTCAGGAAGTTTGAGATAAATCCTGTACAAGTATTTTCAAAAAAATTTCCCATTAAATTCTTATTCTTCTATTCTAATTAACACATCCTGAAACAGGACCATAGTAAATTTTGTGTTTGGTGCTTTGCCAAATACATTGTTGTTACTTGATAATAGATTTATAAAAAGAATACTTTTAATGCTCTCAAAAAATTCTTTATATTTTGGAAAACTAAAGAGTTTGGTTGTGTCTGAGTCTACATGAACTCTTGAGTAAACTTGACTGATTTATAACTTATGTTTTTCTAACTTATGAAATGTAGAGTAATTATTTTCACATGACTAACATTTGGTTCTTTCATTTTATAAACTCTGGTTTATAATGAGCTTTAGAACTTTCAAGTTTAATTAGATCATAGTAAAGTGAGCATGTACCAAGGATGTTTGAGGGTAGATTTCTTCTATGGAGAACCAAACTCCATTGTTTTATCAATGTATTCGAATAATAATTTTTGAAGCGAGCGCACACTAAGATTCTTTTCATGTTTTTCTTATCCTTCTCTGGCCAAGAGTTAGTCCCCAAAACCCTATTTTATATTTATCATAGTCTGAAAGTTAGCCTGGAAAGATGATTAGTTTGCCCTTACTGTTATTATATTGGATGATAACATTGCAAGTTCTTACTCAATTTTGTTGCTAGGCTCTTGGACACCCACGACTTTGAAGGAAACTATGTCCAATTTTCACAGCGGCTAGTTGGTATAGATAAGAGTTAAGTTCCTATCACATATTTCTGGCCATGAAAACATCACCAAACTTCTAAAATATCCAAAGTATTTCTAATATTAAAAAAAATTGTACTCATTCATTGAGTCATTCATTTTCCTACCTGCTTCTTCAGGTTCAGGGCTCCCAGAGGACAGGAAAGCACCATCCAGCTCAGGGGGAAAGGTGGGGCAAACCTCAGACAGGATGCCTTTTGTCACAGGTGCCTCACTCACATCTAGGCAATTTAAATATGCAATGAAGCTAACATGCACATCCCCCGGATGTGGGAGGAAACCCATGCAGACATGGAGAGAACATGTGTGCTCACGCTATACATAGCGGCCCTTGCCAGGAATCAATTTTTTTCTCATTGTTATAATGTCACAACAGCACTGAACAACATATTTGAGGATGTCCTGTATACCAAAAGTAGAACTGAAAACTGTAACGACTTCCTAAATAATTTAGAGGACAATTTATGGGACCATTGTTGCTGTGGAGAAATTTCAGGGAGGGGAAGCCTTTCACATTGAGACCCAGAGTGAAGAGCAGGGAACAGACCCTTCCTAAAATGTAAAATCTGATACGTAGGCTATTTATGTTGGTTTTAAATGTATTAAGCACCTACTAAGTGCCAGGGACGTTAACAGAATTAGTGTTTGTTTTTTATCATTTCTCAACACAATCACCTGAAAAAAGGGAAGTCTTACCCCCAGTTACAGATTGGAAAAAGAGACTCAACTCAAAGTTTATTTCTTTAGTTTGACTCAGTTAATAAGTTGTTATTACCATGAAAATCATTTAAAAAATATCTTTGCACAGTACTCTTACAGGTGTTCTGCCAGTAGAATGACTTTGTAAAACTTGGGTTTGTAAGTTTACTTTTTATAAATGTAGAATGTAAATGAATTAATGCTCACAAAAAATATGAGAGAAGAGAAAGGCCAGGGGATCATATCATCCAAGCATAATAAAGGTAGCAATTATTTTTTTCTTATAAAAATATTGTGTCACAAGTAGCAAAATTGAAAACCCTCCTATACCAGTTTAGAAGGGAAGCCCTCTTCCAGTCAACTGGCTCCTTTTAGTCTCTTTACAAGCCACACATGAAATTGCTTAATATGCAAAACAAATATCTATTTTATCACTTAGAACATTTTCTTTATTTTTTTTAAGATTTATTTATTTATTTATACAAGCACTGGGTACGGTCAGAAGTGCGAGAGGGTGAGGGAATTCACCAGAGCCAGAGTGGGGAGCAGAACAGGCAGACCAACGAAGTACACTGCTGAGGGGAGCAGCTGGCGTGGCAGGAGAGGCCTGTCGAGCCATGTGGGACCCTTGCCTGCGGCTGGGTGTTGAACCGGCCCGCCGGCAGTTTCACAGCCCAGCACTCAACTGCTGCGCCACCAGGGGAGGCCCCATTTAGAACATTTTCAGGAAATATAAATGAATAAATGACTAAATTCAATTTTTAAATTGGAAATAAGCTAAATTTACAGAGTTAATAATTCTATTGGAAAAAAAGTATTAGATCCTTTATTTTCAGTTAGTAGAAAAGTGATAAGGACAGTTCAGACCCCATGGGAGATCTTTTCCACTAATTTAAAATTAGATTATTCAAAATAAGCTGAAAATTATTTCATGAGAGGCTCATTAGTTTACCTGATAAAACTTCTAAATTAGGTAATATGTCAGCAGAATATAAATATAATAGTCTCAGATAATTTTTAGTGTATGTACCATCTAGTGTCATAGTCAAGTACCATAAGATCAAAGTCAAGTCCTTGGTGATGATTGGCCAGCAGTGACCATGAGAAGATTCTTGATCATCGTGAGATGTGGACACCATAAATGAATTTTGACTCTCCCTTTAAAGGAAATTACAGTATAACTGAAAGATGAGGCAAACTTAATTCAAGAGTAAGAGTTGATTTGTCTATTAGTGACTATAATGACAAATAGGAGATGAGAAAAAGAAGATAATTGTCAGAGACCTTCCCTTAACCAACTGGGGTAATGGGACCTGAACTTGAACACTGGATAAACATCCTTGGTGGATACCCTGAATGTTATGTTAGGTGGAACCCTTACCTTCAGGAAGTGATACTGTAGGGAGGTGGTGCGGGCTAGTTAGCAATGCTCTGAAATGAATATCAGGGATTCTATTTAAAAATCTGCTACTTTATTATCCTTTATTAAAAAAAACAGAAGAGGAAGAGACCTTAAAGTTTCACATAAGGTTCATTTCATATTTCCTCTTCTACAATCAAAGCCTGAAACCTCATTTCACCACAGCGAGGATGAAACTTTCTAAATGTGTCCTAGTCACAAATGATGAGCAACAACAAATAGAACATTTTTATATGTATACTCCCAGTTCAGGGCTTTGTATATTTTGTCTCACTCCTCTGAGAAGGTTATTTCTATGTCCATTTTACAGATGGGAGAATGGAGGCTTAGGAGTTCAAGTGATTTGCCCAAAGATCACATAGTAAAAATGTCGGGATGTAAATCCAGGCTCATCTGAATTGATCAGGACCAAGTCTCTTAATGCTTATATTATAAAACACTCCATAAGAGGATTTTGCTCAACACATTTCCTTTTCCTTCCTGTTTCCTTTCATCTGACTTCAGGCTACCTTTCCTTCAGCAGTCTGGACTGCCTTTCCTTAGTGGTCTGCACTACCTTTCCTTCAGTGG